CATTCTTATTCTAACATGTTTTAATGAGTATGTTTTAAAAGTACTTTACATAGGTTAAGTGGCAAGCAGCAAAAGCTAGGGAATACCTAATCAACCTGTTATATTAGTGTTGTATATTTAATGTTTTTAAACAGAGATTTTACATGACCATATAAACATATTACTGTCAAACCTCTCACTTCACTGTGTACTCTCTTCAAATTTTCGGTGGAGTCTCTGGCGCATTTTTTTCCCTGCCTTCTGTGGTCTTTTGCTTTCATAATCTGGTTCAAGCTACAGCATATCAAAACTGAGACTGACTGGCTGCTCTTCCTATGCACTTTCTAAATTCTCATTAATGCTTAACTAGATGTTTTTCGGTAGATGCAATTGCTGTGATGACTTACAGCATGTTACTGCTTGACCCAGCAGAGGAATGGAAGTGTCCAGTGCAAATTCTAAGCTAAAATAAAATGAAGTCTGTGCTGTGTAACTCAACAAGGTGAACCAAGCCATGCAGCAGACCTCAGAATTAATTTCCTGTCATGTCGATTACAGTCAGTTCAAGCAAGGCTTCTTTTGAATGAAATGCTTCCATCAGATTCGTTCAGTGGTGCTTGATTCTGATTTTGCATTTGTTTCAAGGGCTAAGTATCTAATTCACTTGGCCACTGTGGATGTAGAATCCTGCATACTGAAAGGGAATGTTGATTAGCAAAAGCATTCATGTGGCACAGTGCCAGTTTTTTCTGTATTATCCTGAAACTCCTGCTTACAGCAAAGATCTCATTATTTTGTCTAAAAAAAGCAAATAGCATCCAAATACTATTAATCTTAATGAAAGCTTACTATGCAGTAAGGCAATTAGCTAGACACACAGAGTACAAGCTAAGACCTCAGAAAGCAGTGGTTTCTTTTAAGTGCACTTCATATTTTTTCAGTTTTATAGAATGGAGGGACCTTATGCAAAAATCTGCAAGATGCAGTTTCAAAGCATGTCATGTAAAGGGGCTAAATGAAAAACATGGTTTTCCATAAAACCTACTTCCAGAGTCCTACATTGCAGAATATGGCCACAACTCGGTTTGTGGAAAAAGAAAAGCCCCTGAGCCTGGAAGGGAGTTTCGTGTCTCTGCTTACACATATTCCTGAGTGGAGTTGGGGTATGTTCCTGAATAGTACAAATGGCAAATACAAATGAGCGTGCCTTGCGCTGCATATGAAGGATTATGTCTCCCTTGTAGGTGCTTCTTCCATGTTGCGGCAGGACTTCAGAATTCTCCACTTCTAGGAGCAGCCACCCAGAAGTGATGGGCTGCCTCCAGGCTGTGTCTTTGATACCCCGTCTTTAGATCATGGCCTTGTTCTTGGCTTGGCGTGCCTGCCAGGTGCTTCAGTGCAGTCAGCGCTCCCTGACCCAGCCTTGGTGTCCCGTCTCAAGTCCTTTACTGCTCTGCCACGAATCAGCACGACCTTTCGGTACCAGAGCAGATGGAAAGTGTTAAGCATGCAGGAGACAGTTCTCTAACGTAGTCTGTGTTGCATATCAAATCTGTCCGGCAAGCATTCATCTCTTCTAGGAAATCTTGGTTCCTGGATTATTCCCTTAGAACATTGTTTCCATTCCTGAATTCAGTGATATTTTTCTGAGCCAGAGTTTTTCATGGTTTTGGGGCTGTTGCTGACTCCTTCTTGTGAGTCTTTTTTTCTTTTTTTCTTCTAACAGATAGGATTTAGGCCTCACTGCTTTAACAAAAACTTTTGTGTTAATGCCTGCATTAACCTACTGGTAAAGAAGAATTACTTAGAATTGAACAATGTGCTTCTTAAGGTGACTTGATTTTTTTTTTTTGTCGTCACATACGTACAAAAGTCTCTGTGCAAATTGAGAAGGTATTTCTGATAGCTCAGTACTCTGTGTAGCTCTCAATGTAGCGTATCCCTGAAAATGAGGGTAAGTTAAAAGCAATATTTTCCTAAACATCTGAAGCTGTTAATTGTAAATCTGGGAACAGGTTGCTGCTGTTAATGTGTAGAGGAATTTCTTCTCAGTCTGTATGTTTGCCATAGCATAAAAACCAGAACAGAAGTATGGTTTGCATGCATCTTAGTGGTTCTTCAAGAGGCATATTTTCTCAGAGCTGGGCTGTCAAGCAAGGCATTGCAAAAATTCTCGCTCCCCTACATAGTTCTATCAGGAAAGAAATAAATATTGTTTGGATCCAATACAATTGTAGTAGTCACACAAACTGTCTTCAGCTAAAAAAACCACGGTGTCCTAGTCCTAATTGTCTACTAGAAGTAGTGTATCCTGGTCCTTCTGTCAGTTTTGCCCTGAAAGTGGCAAGACGTTAGTCTTCCCGTGGAGGTAGACATTGCATTGTATCTGTTTTTACAGAATTCTTCTGTGTGAATCTTGGCAATTCAAGCAGTATTTGAGATATTTTCTTGGCTTATGCTTGGAATTTTCACCTTCTACCCCATTTATCAGACTTGGAGGACTTGCCAGCTGCCTTGCCCTTCTTGATTTCTTTCCTATCTTTAGTAAGAATTACTACAGCAAAAAAAAATTCTGCCGATATTCACTCTTGACAGAATTTGGCATTCTTGAAAAAGCGCTGCCCTTTCTTGGCTGGCTTGGTATCCATCACTCCCTGACAAGGTCCTGAATTACGACTTTTTAAATTTTTTTTTTTAAGACAGTCTTCTGGGGGAAAAAAAAAAGCAGTCTCTGAATCCAGCCTCTTCCACCTTCTATCTGTAGGCATTTGGAATACAATAAATATTTTTGCTGTATGTATGCCATATGTGCAGGAACTGGTGTTCTGCTGTCTCCCTGCCTCACATTAATGGTGACGTGCCAGCCTTGAGCAGAGTACTCCGTTTACCATCTCTCTCTTTCCCCAGTGTTGGCTGCCATGTTCTCTTGGAAAAGAACGCTAAGTGTCGAAATGCAGTACTTCCATGGCTTTCCTCTTTATCTGCTTTTGTTCTGTATTCCTGCTTAAAAACCTGGGGTTTTTTCCTGGTTTTGTCCTCTGTCTTCATAATGTGACTTTCTTGACTTGTTTCCTTATTTAAGTATTTAGCAAAATGGTATAACTAGGGATGTGGGGTGCATTCTTATTTTGATCCTGATTCTTTGTCTTCCATTAAAACAAAACAAATCCTCGCAATCCTAAATTAATGGGCATACCTTTTCCTGAGTTTCTTTTGTTGTGAACAGTACACTTCAGTTTATGAAGCTGGTAGAGCTTTGTGTGAACTTGATTATTTTAGTATATATCCTATGTGTGTTAACATAAGTGTTTGGTTATGATGGTACGTTAACTTGCTGAGCCTCACAAAAGGATTTAAGTTTGAAATAGGCTGTTAAAGGACATTCTTACTTGGTGCTGGCAGGAAGTTTATGGAATATATTTATATAGCCATTCCAGGCACAGGGGTATTCTGAGTTGTTGCAATCGACTGCTGCTCTCACTATTCTAATTCAAAGTAATGAAACACAGGGTGTAAACTCATTGCTTGTAACCCCACAGGAACTGCTCTGCTTTGATATTTGGAGAAGGTGAAGAGAATTTCCATCATTGAGAAGGTTAGAAGGACTGGATTAAAGTTCTAAACTCTTCAGAAAGATGTTTTGATTAAATGCGTGCCTAGTTTTATTTGATTTTTAAAGATAAACTTCTGTTCTCTGGTAAACTGTTCTCTTTGCCAACTAATTAAGAAATGAAAAGTAAGTTAATATTACAACTGACTGTATGGAAGCCTACTCTGTGTACCATTTTTCTTAAGCTCATTGTTTCCTGCATTCTGGAGATGCCATGAAAAATATGCCATGCGTAGTTGGGTAAAGACTGGTGCATTCCAAAAGAAATTATGTGATACTGGTTTTTTTATTACTTAAATAGCCATCTTCTGTGACTGTTACATAAATCTTTAGAATCACAAAACTCTGAAAATTATATAAACATCAATCTTCAATTGATCTTCTGTGTTAGATAACTTGGATATGCGTTGGTCTGCTCTTAAATGGCTTCTAAACATAATTTAACAAGGTATGGGTCTTTCTTTCATTTTCAGGGTCCAAACTCTTCCTCTGTCTTCTCATTATGAAATACTAGTCACTGTTACCTGGTGTCTCTTAGATTGTGGAGGTTTCTGAAGATGGATAGATGTTTCTTACTGGAGTTTTAATGCTCAATCCACACCTCATTTGTGGAAAAACTACTTGCAAGTTTCCTCTTCAGGGATTTTTCACTTACTGTTTTTCTCCCTTAGTAATAAAATTCTGAAAATTTTAGTGTCTGTATTTTGCTTGGTTTCAATCCAGTGTGGATGTGTCTTTCTCTGGTTTACATTTAGTGATCGTACACATATTTCTGTGTTGTTTGCTAACATGCCAGTCTCATGGTACAGCTGTGTGGTTGCTATCATGACTTGTCTAACAGCTCAGAGAGGAGACCCTATTTCACAACCAAAACTTGGTTTTGATTTAATGACTTGAAAGGGAAAACCAGATTATCTAAATATTCCAAATTGATCAAGCTTGAAAAAACCCGAGCATTTTAGCAGCATAGTAATACTAATACCTCTGGCATACCTCAGCCTGCTGCCTTTGTCAGCAGAGGTGTGTCTGAGGAATGCTCTGTCCGTGTTCCTCCTCCGGCCGAGGGTGGAAGTCGGTAGCCTGGGGAAGAATACAAGAATAGAGCAGCTATGTAATGACACTTCTCTCAGATACTGTACCAGGCCCCAGTGGGTGCAGGTCTGGGGGCATTTTACATAGCTTCCGTAAAGTAACACAGGGCAGGATTAGTGGTTTTGGGATGCCAAAGCTTGTGGACTTTCTGTTGATACCTGGCTGTGAATTTGGGTGCAGGTGACAGGGTCTGCAGTCGTGCCAGCAGTTGCTCAGAGAGCCAGTGCCTTGCCGCCTTCCCCCAGAATCCTCACCTGGAAAAGACTCCTAGCTTAACTAAAAGCACTGTTAATTGACCTGTGCTTAATTTTTCCCTCAGGAATATAAACAGAAGCTTGCTCGGGTAACCCAGGTCCGCAAGGAGCTGAAATCCCACATCCAGAGCCTTCCAGATCTGTCACTGCTGCCCAATGTCACAGGAGGTCTGGCACCTCTGCCGTCTGCTGGTGACCTGTTTTCAACAGACTAGAAAAAATGGTGTCCCCCAGTTTCCATTATTACCAGCAGAAGTAAGAAGACTCTGGTGTTGACTGGAAATCCAGTCTTCCAAGATCTACAGTAGGAAGGAACTTGCAGACCCTGCTTTCAACCTCTTGGCTGCTCATGCTCACCCTCTCTCTGTGTACACTGGCTCACACTGAGGGGAGGAAAAAGAGCGAGTTTTTGTGAGCTCTGAAGGGAGTGGGGATAGTCCATATAGGCAAACTTTTCTCATATTTTTCCATACTCTTTAGTTGCTGTTTGCTCTTAGCACTTGTTACCCCCACAAAAGTCATGAGAATCATGTACATATATACCTGAAAAGTTTTCAAAAACAGGTTGACCGTATAACATTTTTCTCTGTAAAAGTATTGTATTATTTCTGAATAAGTCTCGTCTGTTTTAGTTGGGTTTCTGAACCTCATCTCTGAGAGCAGTAGAGTGGCTAGCGGGCTTCGTAGGGATGTGTGTGTGTATGCAGTACTGTACCATGTCAGCGTAAGAAGGCGGCATCTACTGAACAATGGTAGAGAGAAATATTTTTCTTAAATCTACAGTTCCTCATTCTGTTGTGGGACTGACATGAAGGTAGTTCCTATTTGGCATATACCTAAATTGAAACTCACCACAGGCAATAAAAATAAGCAGCTTTTCTTTGTGAACTAGAGATAGCTTCATAATTTACACTCTGCTGAGCAATGCAGAACTGGACTGGATATTACCTAAATGAGAATGGAAGTAAATTTTGCTCTAGCTTAGATTTATACCACATTTATCCTCTTCGTTATACAAAATTAGATGGTCACAGAAGCTTTGGCTTAATGAACTGAGAGGTTGGAATGGTGTATTGCAACTGGTGATATCCCAGTGACAGGCCCTGTCTGATCCACTCTGAGGATGGTTACATTGAAAATACTATTCTATAAATTCTCTCCATAGCTTTAGTGAAGTTACTTGATGAACAGAAGTTAAATGTGGTATAAATATTTATTTATATAGAAAATAGACCCATATATATGCACATATCCTGTATGCACATGTACCATGTCCATGCATGTAGATATTAGAAGGATGTACTTAATTTTGTGTCACAGATTATTGTGAGTTGATTTTTATAATCGGGAAAAGTCAGGAAAAAGAAAAAAAAGAAGGTAAATTTAAAATATTCTTAATTCCATTATGTTGCTAGCTAATGTTTTAGCTGCCGTGGATGTAGTTACATTTCAGTTTCTGTGTTAGGTCTAACAAACTGGACTCTGATCACTGAAAACCATTCCAATTTGGATAACAATTCTGTTTAAATTTAGCACCTCTCACTATAAAACATTTTAAGTTTCTGGAAACACTTGATCTGATAATACAGGTTTTGTAACAGAGGCTGAAATCAGTTGAAGTGATGTGCTGTGTTTGTGCCTCCCTATAGTCTTAAGCTGCTGTTGTCAAAGACATGAGAGGAAACCTACAGAAATGCAAAGCTTGTTCTGTCTCCTCATTAATTTATTTTACAGGGTATTCAGTAGCCTATTCAGCATTCAGTTAAAACAAATAATACAGCATTTTTTGGTCATTAAGTTGTCAAGAAGCTCACATCCTTTTCTTACTGGCACTTCATTTTGTCCTTTTTTTAAAATTCCTTGCACCCTTACTGCCCAGCCAAGAAATATGTTTTTCTCTTTAGTTTACAGGAAATTTTCCAGTGGCAGAACTATTCTTTCCATGAATTGGCTTGATTGTACAGCCTTTTATGGTCCAACGTTATTTAGATAAAGCACTGTACATTCTCTCTGCTTTTGCCAAAAATGAAAAACAAAAAAACCCCCACCAAACCTCAAAACCCCAAACCAAAAGACTCATTTCTATCCTGTCTCAGCTGTTGAGAGTTACCCTGAGGCTGTTTTAACCAATAATTATTTTGACCAACGATTGAATGTGTATCCATTATAGGACAAAAAAGCTGTCATAAAAAAAAAATTATGTAGACAAATGTGTTGACATCTCACGCTTGTTGTTTTGGGCAGATCTTCTCTGAGAGAGTTGTATGTCTTTTTTTTTTTTAATTGAAATGTTTTGATTTTTTTTTCCAAATATATGTGTGTGTTTTATTTTGCTTAATTTAAATGAAGTCTTGTGGTTTTTAATTTTATTTGTTTTCCTTTTTGGGCAAAGGGCATCTGGTGAACTGGGTGACATTCTCTCAAGGTTAAACAGATTTCCCCAAGGTGTGTCTTTTTTTAACAAAAGCTTAAATCCGTATATGAATTGATTTAGGAATTAATTTAGACATATAGGCTGCCATTTGTGACAGCAGTATATTCTGAAATGTCTCATAGATATCTATTTTTGAATAAAGAGGGTGTCGTTGAATAGTAGTGGTTTTACTTTTTTTTTTTCACAATGCAGGTGTTGCTCTGGCATGCCATGGGTTTTGTTCTGGTTTTTTTTCCCTCTAAAATCAGAGGCAGTGACTGCTGAATGGTCCTTGCATTAGAGTTTGTAGATGTAGAGTATCATCTGAGTTTGCCAAATTACAGTCACACTTTCCGACAGCTTATAAACCAAATCAATATGCAGCTTTCCCAGGTGATTACTGCAACGAACAAAAATAAAATATGCTCCCCTGCACTAACCTCTGATTTGAGGGGCACAAGATACAGAAGACTAACAACTTATCTCAGGTTGTATGGATGACATGTAAATAATTACTCTTAAAAGAATACAAAGAAACAAACAAAAGCCAAACCTGGAAGCCAGGTAACGAGCATCAAGAGCTGCTGTTACAGCAGGATCTGTGATACTGCGTAATTGAAGCCTTTCTGCTTTAGAGGAGGGGGGTCTTCACCTCTTACTGGGTGTTAATTCTCTTAGAGGGTTGGGGGGGGCTTATGGGTTCTTCACTCTGATTAACTACTCTACAGTGGTCTCTTTGGGCACACTTAGTGATTGTTTCATATGCCTTGGAGAGTATCTGTAAAGCTGCTTACATTTTTATACCAATTTACAAATCTTCTATTAAAGAGACTATATTTAGTACTACTTTCATAAAGGGCTCGCAGAAGTTTGATATACAGCAGCAGGGAGTCTGATGTGATTCCTTACAATGAAAAGCCACCTTTGTATCGTGTTTGTAGGAACTAGAGTGAGGTTTTCAAAGACGTAAAATGTGGCTAGGTACTGGATGTCCTTTCTTGCCTTTGAGAATTTTTTTTTTTTAAAGAGCTGAAACAAATGCCTCCAAAAATATTTGACTGCTATGCAACTTCCAATGCAGTTAACTACTTCAGTGCACTGGTGTGTGTTCCCTTCACTCTGCGTACTCGCCAGGTGTTGCTGTATAACGAACTAATGTGGGCTTATGGGTCTGTAGGAGGTGGGAACTCGATCCTGGTTAACTGTCATGTGAGTCTAAGATCACAGGTTATGATGGCGATAAGAAAGCAAGGCTGGCGTAGCTTCAGGGCGGTGGAGGTGGTGAGCAGTTGTGCTGCCTGGCGCCCGACGCCTCGCCCCGGAGCAAGATTGCTGTGGGCTTAGTCCAGTTACTTACTCGGGCCAAATGCTGATACGTTCCCTGGTCAGTTGTAAACTTTATGTGTGTTTCTCTTAAAGATTAGATAGAAAAAGTATAAAATGCACCTCATGCCATCTGAAGAAAAATGACCTTGTAAAACATTTGAATGGAACGTCGCCATAGACACTACGACGGTCCGTTAGCGGAGCGAGACTGGGACACGCGTTTGCCAGGGATTTCACTTGCTGCTAGGGAAGTGCCACAGGCATCGGCTGCCTTTTTCTACTGTGAACTTCGCTATGGTTTGTGAGGTTGGAGTCCACCAAGTTTCCTAGGGCTAGTCGTATTTTGGAGATTTTTGGATAATCAAGCAAGGAAAATGAGCCAGAAAAACTGGGAAGCTTTGGAAGCCCTGGAGGTTCAGTATTGCTGCAAGACAAAGATAATTTTGCATTAGCACCGAAAGTATTATTTTTGTACCATCTTAGAAAGTAAATTCTTGTCTCCATAGCCAAGTAAAATGAAAGTGAAGTTTGAATCAGTGATTTATAAAGCAGAAGGATAAAAGCGTTCCTGTTAAAATACGGGAAGTAAAGAGTCTCAGATGGAAAGCGGCGGGGGTGCTTTCACAGTGCAGGAGGCTGCGTGATGGACGATGGGGAGGGTTGGCTCGGTTGAGCGGCACCTGATTGGGAAAGGAAGAATCAGAGTTTGAGGTTTTACATACTTGCAGGCTTGGATTTCACAGCTTTATGCTTGCTGCGAGAGGATCGAGGACATGCAGGGGAGGACCTCCGTGCCAGCACGCTGAGCACGTGGAGAGGCTTGGTGAGGTGTCCAGCTCAGGGCTTCTCTAGAAAATCCAAGAAGCAAATAAGCTTCTTTAAGGGATTATATTGTGAAAAGCAAGGTCTTGTGCAAAGAGGATTGAAAGGAAATGGGTGTGAATTACAACGTAAATGCCTTTGTGTCTTCTAGAGAGCTGCTGCAGCCTTTCCCTTCTCCTTCCTTCCCCTCTTTTTCTATTTGCAGGAATCGTGGGGAAAGTCTGCTGGAAGGCAACAGTATGTAGAAAATTGTTTCTTTATTTGTATTTTCAGTAGGGGTTTCACATGGCATGATTTAGCAAGAAGTTCAATACAGGCTAATACCCTACCAAGCCTCCACATATGCTGGAGCAGATGAAACTTCATGGTTATGCTGGTCCAGAATGCAGGAGGCTTTTAATGCAGGAGTGTCCAAGACCCTGACGGAGGGGATCAGTGCTCTTGGCTGTAAAATGCCCTGCGCGGGTGGGCAGTGCAGCGATGCGAAGGGTGGGAGACGAGGCGTTGAGGTGGGCTTCACCCAGGGAGGGAGCAGCAGCACGGGGAATATGCCCCGAATCCCATGCTTGACATCCCCTCGTTCTTGTTACTAAGCTGCCCGGCTTCTGCCGTGTGAATCAATGAAGCAGCCGTTCCAGTGAGATGGTGGGACATCTGCCACTCTAATTGCCACAGCAGATGACAATCATCTACTCTGCTGCTGTTGTCAAATACGGTTTTTGAGATACTTCATGCGCTGTCCAGGAAATAGAGGCTAAAGTGTGTATTAGTGTAGGACACCCAGTTGTGTTCTCCCTGCATCTGCCTCATGTATTTTTTTGGCCCAGAGTTAACTATGAAACGTTTTTCTTCACCTAAAACTGTGGAAGTGTCTTTTTACAGTTTTTCTGATGCTCTGGGGTGAGGGAAGCTTAATTCTTGTCTTTGGAGATTAAGTAGCTTCAGGTAGGTCTTCTGTTTTGTTTTGACCAGCCACACTGCCGGCAGCAGTGGGGAAAGCCCAAAATCTCCTCTCGGCTTCCCTTTGGCTGCGTTGCTGTGGCGGTTCTGGGGCTCGCGGGGGAAGCTGGCGGTGAAGCGCTGCAGGTGCTGCTGCCCAGTGGTGCCGGCGGTGGCGGCTGGGGCCGCTTCTCTTCCACCCCCAGCAGGTAGGCAGCCAGCCGGGGAGCGGGCGGGGAGGCTCCGTGGGAGCAGCCAGCGCAGGTTCCAGCGGTGCAGCCCCGGGAGGGAGATGTTTAAGGTAAACGAGCGCTTTGTGCACAGGAGTACCCACCGAGCACCCAGCAGCCCGAGGGGCAGGCGTTCTGCAGCCCCATCGAGCCTGGACCCTTGACAGTGGTTGCAAATACATGTCTCGGAGTTTTCCTCCGCTCAGGGATTTGATGTGGCATGGCAGCTTGGCTG